TGCATAGACGTTTTCTGTTGTGGCAGCAGACATCCTTTTTTCCTAATTATGCTTTAAATATATGAACAATTGAACATAATAGCTCACTAATAAGAATCCTTCTCCTTCACAATCTTGATCCTTTTCTTGTCTTTTTTTTTTGGTTGTTTTGCATAGTCATAGGATGAACGAGTACCAAAAAAATGTTTAGAATGTAATTTAGTAAAATAGTTGTCCTTATATGGAGTGATTTCGAAGCCCATATTTTTGATCTGTGGGTCACTCATTTTCCATACAATGGGTAGGCACAGTGTGATTTTAAGCATCAAGCACGAAAGATGGAATTTAGTTAAAGAAAACGAATTAATGATTTTGTTAAAGTACTCGAGACTCATGTATTTGGTGAGTATGTCATTAAGGATAACTGTTTCAATGTCAGAATTGGGTTGTCTTCTCCAGCAATGGCCTCTTCTTTGGCATCATTGATTGCCCAGGCTTTTCCCCCTTCTCTCCCTATGCTGATGTGGCTCTTATATGGCAGCTTATTCATGCTAGGTTAGATGACTCAGTTTGACTTATGGATGATAAGGACACAATTTTTAAGTTGAGTAAATATCAAGGACTGAGTTTTAAACAAGTTAAAAGTTTAGGGACTGAATTATACCGACTCATAGTTGAAGGACTGAGTCACAACTAAGTTAAAACTTGAAAGGCCAAAAGATTAATTTTTCCTATATTTTAATTTGTTTTTAGGAAGCACATTCATTGGCTTGGAGACCACCAACTACGTTTACACAAAACCAATAGTTTGCCTTCAATCCTCTTCACGTAAAGGAGATGGAAGAAGATTTTTTTTTTGGCTTTCTTTTTGTATATTTTGTGTAAGCTGGCCGATTTTTTGTTCCCAGCTATTTTGATATATAATGAGGTTGTGTAAGCTAGATGGTTTTTGATTCCCAACTATTTTAACACAAGCATTCCCAATTTTTTTTTCCAGATCAATGTAAGTATTTTAGGTGGTGAAAGAAAGGCCACCTTGTGTTTAGTTATTGCAAAGACTTTATGCTAAAAAAACTTGTCCAATGGTAAAAATACTTAATTTAATTAGCTTCTCCCCTTAGATGATTCATCTATTATATTTTATTTGGAAGTATTCAACAGGTACATATTTGTAAGTTGCTTAGGTCTAAAACAATCAGAGAGATGAAATTTTTGAGCCTATATAAAGAATTACTATGTGCAAAGTCAATTCCTTGCCCAAGTTTTTCTCAATGTTCAAATCCAATTCAACCCATTGATTCAAACACATCCATGAGTTGCCATAAACAAAATCTCCAACATCCTCACATACCAAGATGGCTGCCAGATTTTCCTCCCCACAACTCATACGAGAATTGCAATAAATTAGTTAAGGAAAGAAAAAATGGTGAGTGGTAGCATTGAGGAAAATAGGAATGTATTACAACATCTATTCTCATTGCAATTACATGGAAATATGATACAAGTCATAATATTTTTTTATTATAAAAATACATAGTGTCTTCTCATATGCCAAATCAAATTTGCTACTCTAGAGTGTAGAGCCTGCGTTAGTACTAGTTTAATGGGCAAAAGAATTTATCAAATGTCAGCCAGCAAGAACGTGACCAACCAACAATATGATATTTCTCCTCTTCCAGAGAGCTTAAAGCTGCTGCTGCCACCAAATCTGCTATCAAATAATCCAAAAAGATGAAAAAATTCTCTGAATTACTCCACTTTCACCACCTTCAAATACATTGGATCACAATAACCTACAAAACAACCATTCTATCCCTTACTTTACACCAAACCAAAAGATATCAGGTCAAACATGATATCCTGAGACTAGCTGCATATGTGCATATTGTTGCAAAAACAGTCTAATAGCAAATGAATGTTTTATCTTAGTTAAGTGACTTTACATAGTGCCCAGTTTTTCGCCTGTGCCTGCTATAATTAGAAACAAATCTGAATGAAAGGCCACTTCCCTCAACCTTACAAGGATAACTACATTTCTAATAAGAAAAATATTCCTTTTGTTCTCTTCACAAAGCCATATAAAAGAAGCCAATTTAAATTTTTGAGGATTGATGCAGTATGATTGAGAAATATGGCAAAATAATATTAGAAAATTTCAAATATATATGTATTTAAGATTGATTGAATAACTTCAGGCCAAAAAAGAATGACTGAATAACTATAGTGCTAAGTAACAGCAAATGAAATATTCCTTTTTTCTTTCAAAGAAATGTACTTATGTTTCATCAGCACAGTCATGACAATGCGGCCAAAATAGCTAGTAATAAACGTTGAAGCTCAAGTTTATCAACTGAAATATAAAGTTGGAAATCATGAACATATCACAAAATAATTACATTAAAGCACATATAACTTGGGTTTCTTTGAAATATAAAGTTGGAAATAATGAATTTATCACAAAAAGAATTGCCCCAAATCATAGGCCTATGAATCGAAGATATTATGAATAAACATAAAACTTAGAAGCCTAGTTTTAGATCTAGCCCTAAAATCACTGCCTCTTCTATCAATCGAACTTGAAACTAAAATTTTTGCAAGGTTGTCGATGAGGAAGCGACGTCAGAGGAGGAGGAGAAAATGAAACTTACAACTTGTGGTTATGAGAAAGGATAAGAATGGTTGCAATTCTCACAATTTCGATCAAGCATCTATTCGTTGACTACAGGGGAGTTACCGCTGCCGCTGCCGTTGCCTATGGTTATAAGAAGGGATCAGAGGGGTTTCCTTCTCATGGTTCCGGTCGCATATCTGGTCGCCAGCCATGGGGGAGTCGCTACCACCATGGAGAAGTGTAGAAAAGAGGGGAGACAAGTTAGGGACGAGCTCCTCTGCAATGAAATCCATTTCCCTCTTTAATTTCATTTTGGGTGTCTTTTTTCATTTTAAAAAGTTTAATTTTTTTTCTTTTTATTTTGTTTTTTGTGAATGAGTGGATCTGCCGGTTAGAATTATAAGTGTTTTTAGAGGGGAGTTAGCAGCCAAATCAAGGTGCCAGCAAGGATACAATAAGCTAAGTTGCTGTTTTTTGATTGGACAAAGTTGGGGTGGCGTGGCACTCCGAGTTTATGTAAGAATCTCTCCCCCTCCCCTCCCCTCCATCAAACCAAAGAAAGCCTAGATGAATCTAATATGGCCTTAGTTAGTTTCATCTCTCTTATCTTTTCATATCTAAAATAAATGTTATTTCGTCTTCCTTCTTTACCTTTCATGAATCTTATTATGGCCTTAGCTATTTCAGCTCTCTCCATCATCCCTCTCTGGTTATTAGGTTTTGGCCATAAAACCACTTTCAAGCGATCTGTTAAAAAAGTTGCATTCATCTTCTGTTCTGCAAACAAAAGCAAAGCTATTATGGGAACGCCATGAACAATGCTCTCCATTGTCGACTTCCAACAACAGTGACTAAAGATCCACCAACAAAAGGATCTGAATTTGAAGTGCCTATGAAGAAACAACATGCAAGATCTTCATTTTTGGTTCTCTCTAAAAATCCATGTGTTTCATCTGAAATGAAATAGTTAATATCGGGTTTTGTGTTGCTGAAGAGAAACAGAGAAGTGTGAGGATTGAGGACGTTTGGAAGAGAGAGACAGCAGTGATGAAAATCAAAAAAGATGAAGCGGAAGAGGATAGAGGGAGTTTGGATGAGAGGGATGAAAAAAGGAAAAGGAAGAAGATTGAGGAGGAGAGAGGCAAAGAAGGGTGAGGGGAGAGAGTCTGAGGGGAAAATGAAGTGGAAGGAGCTGACAAGGAGAGAGAAGCGGATAAAAACGAGTGGTGTCCACCTAAGAAAGAGAGGGACGTTATCGGGATTGTCAAAGTTGCTCTGTTTTCAAATAAATGTGTTTAATTTTTGCACCATTTAAAATTTAATGATGCCAAACGCCTATAATACAAAATTTTTTTTGGTAAGAACAAAATTTTATTCTTAAAATTACACATTAAGCCTTTCAAAATATATCCTAACTTTTAAATTGTCAATATGTAATGACTACTATATTAATTCCCATTCAATATGTTAAATTCCTAATTTGTTAAGTTTCTCAGGACATACATACTATTGTAGCCAATAAATATTAAAAAATTTACTATAAAAAATTGCATAGTTAAAAACAATAAAATATGATTAAAAATTTGAAAATAAATGCATTAAATATTTGTTGGAAAATTGAATGTTTTAAACAACATTTATATTAAAAGGGGTATTTTGGCCAAAAAATATATGATTTAATGGTCAGTTAATTTGACTTGTTTTATATAACACTACTATAGTGAAAACCTTTTATTTCTGTTTTCAATGACTTTTTACTTTTATTTTGGAGGGACATAAAAAGAAGAGACATCAAAAGTACTACACAATTTACTTCTGTTTTAAACAGAGAAGAAAAATAGTATTATTTACATCTATTGCCAACAGAACTAAAAAGCACCTTATTTACCACTACTTTTATGAAAACAGGCGTGAATAATATAACTTTTTATTTGAGAAGATATTCAAACAGATTTTATGCAATATGTAGCAAGCTAAAGTGATTAGGGAGTGCTTAAATAGTTTTTTTATTATATATGTAGGGAGTTGTAAATTAATAAATAAAATTTATTTTTATATGATTTGTACTATATAGAGGCGTCTCAAGTTAATATATAAATTTCTGATACCCAAATGTGAGGCCACTTATTTAGTTATTATGCCATTTTTCCTTTGGAAATCGGACATGAGTTAAGGGGAAAAAAAATACCCAACAATAAAGTCAACATAATGCTGACCATATAGCTTCCTTTGCACACAAAATTCTTAAAAACATTTCAAAATTAAATGATCTTGAGATACAAGTTACATACAATTGAAAGAATATCACATGAGAATACACGCAAGGCAACAACGCCCCAACTTGTTACAAATGAATGAAATTTAATTTATGACATTCATGAAAGAATTAATACTAAACAGAAGAATTTAATTAATTGATAGCACTGCAAATCCTTCTCACAATCCCAGAGGAGCCAATTAAAGGTTGAATATCTCCCATCTTGATCATGGCAGAAGCAAAATCAGATTTGAAGAGAGTTGGATTTGTACTGTACTCAGACACAATACCATCTGTTGATCCTCCATTGAAAAGAACTTGATCAGATGGAAGAAGACCCTTGTTTCGAATTAGGTTTTTAAAGTAATTGTTATCAAATGAGTTCGGTGTGACCAAGTCAAGAGGAGCCAACTTCTTATCATTGTTAGGGCTACTTGCCAGTGGACAAGTTCTCTGACGAGTAGAAGCAAACCCAGCATCGATGTTACTGCTATTTTTGCTGTAAATCCTGTCACGAAATGTGAAGCATTGGGCATGCCCTATTGTATGAGAGCCTGAAGAAACATTAAATTAAAATGTTACTTATTATATGAATGATTATATACAGTTGACTAATGAGGTTTACTGGACATAAATAAATGCTCGAGAAGATTAGGTGGTTAATTAACTGACATACCTGATAGAGCCACCATGTCTCTTGTGCTGAGCCCTTTCTTATCAAAACGAGAGATAAGGGTTTCAAGGCTATCTGTGAATTTTGGAAGATCAGAATTGGCCAAATCTTTGTTGGCTGTGGTAGAATCTCTTCGTCCAAGCTTCACAGTCCACGATGGACCGCCCACCTATATATATATATTTCGTGGATATGCATGATCTTAGCCAAATTACTAATAATTTCCTCATATTTCATGACAGGTATAATATATATATATGTAATGTATGTCAAACTCACAGAAAATGATGCATCTCTTGCTGCTACTGCGAGGATATCAGCACAAGAAACAACTCCAGGGCATACTTTTTCAACCTCAGCCTTGGCTTCATCAATAACGTTATAGCCTCTCACAGAATTTTGATTAGGGAGAGCAGTCTTTTCACTCCCAAAACTGGAGCTTTCATCCAGCAATATTGAGGCGTCACAACCCTACTGATCAAAATGACAATATATCACATGGAATCAATCCCTCTCTTTAATTATTTCTTTGGTAATACATATAATTACGAGAGACTTTTTGGTAATTGCATTTCGCCTTCGGGGACGTGCTTGTGTCGTGCGTGCGTACCTGAACAAAGCAATCATGGAAATGAAGGCGAATAAGAGAAGCAGCCATGCGACGTTCCTTGGACACTGCTCTTCTGATAACTGATCTGATAGTGGAAAGGGCATTAGGGCATGTGTTGTCGTAGAAATTTGAAGATAGTTGAGCTTCACATGTTGTGCCTAACACCACCAACATCATCAGAATGAGACCCTTAATACAGTAATAGCCAGCCATGAACATGTAATGTTCGAGCTAGAAGAAATATTAATTAAAGCTTTGAATATGTAAGAGGGAAAAGCAGTGAAATGAAGAAGTATATATTGCAGAAATCTGAGAGCTCAAAGGGTTATTTATAGGTAACCAAGGAGGAAATATGATAATGGTTCAATGATATAGTTGTCTTGGTCTCTCTTGTCTGCTTCCGCGCTTTGCTTTTGTTATATTGGCTGGCAAAAGAATGGGCAATATATTTGACCAATTCTCAATAAAAACACTGTACGACGGCTTCACCTTTGTCCTTCGTTGACCTTGTAACTTAAGATTATTCTGAGGAGTATGTTGTGGCTACCTTCACTGAAACATACCCATAAATTTTTCTTTTCACCATCTTCTTAAATCGAATCCAAGAACAAAAAGTCAACGTTCAACAAATTAAATCATCATGGCAAGCATAGCGGTTCAATTTTTTTTTTTTTAACTATTAAAATTGTTCTTACATTGTTTTAGATCAGAGTACCTTGGTGTCCCAGATATAATTGCCTAAACAAAATTCTGAAGATTGTTAATGCTATCCTTAGACCTAAGATTATTAAAGTTAAAAGATTGTATTTAGCAATAGCTTTAAATGTTAGTTTCTTAAATGAACGCTGTGACAACGTAACTTACAATTCTGTTTAGAGTTTGAAATTAAATTAAAAAGGCCTTTAATTGACTGGACTTATTTACTTTCAGATTAAGATAATAGGATATATAATCCTACTAACTACTCCAAGCAGAATTGAGAATCGGTCTCTTGGTCAAACAGCCTCTCTTAATTATATGCCAGCCATCATCAGAAGCAGACTATTATCATTATTGCGAACAAGACAATGAATCACCTGCCCACATTCATTACATTCCCAATTTTTATAAATAATTTCCCTTGCTCTTAATTATATTTCTGCATCGTTATTTCATATCACTTCTTTCTTTTCTGTTCATTACACTCTTCAGAACCAGGAAACAAACACCAATAAGAAACTAGCTACTACTGTGTCTGACATAATTATTCATATGATGTGGCTGGTCCATCAAATGAATATAATCCTCTCTAGCATTTGTTAATCTAGTAAACCTTATTAGCCGATTACTACCTACGGTCCTTAATAATATGAGAGCTTATTGGAGAGTAAATTTGATTCTAAATATAAAATATAAATCATTTGTTAGTCACCTTTTTCCAAAATATCCCTTTCAGATTGTAAGGAATTTCCACCAAGGAATTATTTGAATCATCCAATATATATTATAATGATAAACAAGATAGTTTAGGGAGATCAACACACATTTGTGACAAATAACCAACCTAGTTAATTTTTATAATATCCCTAAATTAGTTATCTAGCTCTTATATTAAGGAATAGAAGTAGCATACTGTATAATCATTCATATAATTAATAAGTAACATTTTAATTAATTTGATATTTCATCAGGTTCTCCCACAATAGGGCAAGCCCAAGGCTTCACATTTTATGATAGGATTTACAGCAATAATAACAGCATTGTGTTTGCTTCTACTGGGTCAGAGAACTTGTCCATTAGCAAGTAGCCCTAGTAACAACAAGAAGTCGGCTCCTCTTGACTCGGTCACACCGACACTACAAAAAAACAGCTGATTAGCAATGGAATTTGTGACGAAAACAAATTCCGTCGCAAATTAGCGATGGAGTTTTCGACGGAAATTCTGTCGCTAATTTCTTTGTTCGATTAGCGACGGAATTTCTGTCCGTCACTAAATTCCGTCGCTAATCTGTATTTAGCGACGGAATTGTCTGACAAAAAAAGATTCCGTTGCTAATTCTGTCGCTAATTTTTTTGATGGATTAGCGACGGAATTAGTGACGGAATTGTCTGACAGAAAAAGATTCCGTCGCTAATTCCGTCGCTAATCCATAAAAAAATTAGCGACGGAAATTCCATCAGAAATTAGCGACGGAATTTGTTTCCGTCGCAAATTTTAAGAAAATAAATTACATAGGATATACATACAAGTAGAAAAATACTGTTTGTCATAATCTATTTAAATCATTTAATTTTTTATATAGAATAATTTATTAGATTTTATTATAGTAGTTATTTTTTGAATTTTTTGAATAACAAGATTTTTTTGACTAATTGTAAATGATTTTCTTCAAATATATAAACCACATATACATAATATAATATAATGAAATATAATATATATATATATATATAATTAAATTGTATATCTTATCAATGTTAATTAAAAAATAAATTTAAAAATTATTTATGAAAAATTATTTATGATGTAAAATTCAAAATTAGTGTCGTTAGAAATTAAAATTATATTAAAAATATTTTTTAAAAAATAAAACATTATAAAAATAGTAAAACAAATATTTAAAAATTATTTTTTCATTAAAATAGTTATGATTAAAATTATCATATAGTATATTTTTAGTTTTTAATAATATATATGTATATATAATTGTTTGTGTAAAATAATATATATATTTAATTTTACATAATAAGTCAACAGGTTCATTGCAGCTCAACTGGTCAAGCCGCACGTGCGCACGGAGGAGGTCCTGGGTTCAAGCCATGGAGAAGTCACTTTGAGAAGGGAATTATGTGGTGGTGACACGTGGCGCACACATGGCAGGCAGAGGTGAGGTGGGGCAGCACACGTGGCAGTAGATGTGAGGTGGCAGCGACACATGGAGGTGGTCCCAGTGATGACGTGGCAAGTAGTAGAGGTGCCACGTGGCATTTTATTTTATTTTTTAAAAAATCGAGTTAGCGACGGAATTAGCAACGGAAAAATTCCGTCGCTCGCTAATTCCGTCGGTAATCCGTTCCGTCGCTAAATTTAAAATTCCGTCACTAAAACCATGTTGTTTTGTAGTGCGAACTCATTTGATGACAATTACTTTTAAGAACTTGATTGAAACAAGGGTTTTCTTCCATCTGATCAGGTTCTTTTTAACGAAGGATGAAGCGATAGTATATGTTTGAGTACACAAATTCAACTCTCTTTAAATCTGACTTTGCTTCTACCATGATCAAGATGCATGGGAGATATTTAGCCTTTGAATGGCTCATCTGGGATTTAGAGCTATCAATTAATTAAATTCTTTTGTTTGGTATTGATTCTCTCATGAATTTCATAAATTTCATTCATGTGTAATAATTTGGGTAGAGCTAGTAATATGGGTTAGATAGGTGAATTGGTTAAAAGCCAACACGCCAACACACGAAACTTTGTAACCCTTACCACAAAACTCACAATTCGCCGCGGATTAGCCGACCAACTCACAGGTTAGTCCGTATTTATTTTTTAAAGTTTATTAATTATTATAATTATATAATTATATTTTATATCTAATGTTAAAAATTTTTTTAAAAATACCTATATCATTTATTTGGTGTTTTCAATCAAGTATTTGAAGAAAAATAAAAATTTTATTATATTTTGTTTATATTATATAAGAAAAATATTTTAAAAATAAACAAATTTTTTAAAAAAGAAAATAATAGTTGGCCAACTATGGGCCAAAACCCAACTTGTCATTACACAAGTTCTTTTGAATCTGCATCACTTAACTTTAACCATCACAGGCCAATTCACAACCTATTCACAACCTGTAGATTAGCCTGTATTATTAAAGTTAAAAGATTGTATTTAGCAATAGCTTTAAATGTTAATTTTTTTAATGAAACAACTTACAATTCTGTTTAGAGTTTGAAATTAAATTAGAAAGGCCTTTAATTAACTTGACTTATTTATTTTCAAATTAAGATAATAGGATAATCCTAATAACTACTGCAAAGAAAATTTAGATTTGGCCTCTTGTCAAATAGCCCTCTCTTATATGCCAGGTGCCAGCCATCATCAGAAGCAGACTACTATGGCGAACAAGACAATGTATCACCCGGCCGCATTTATTACATTATTCCCATCTTTTATAAATAATTCATTGTGCTCTTAGGTTTCTGCATAATTGTTTCATATCACTTTATTCTCTCTTTGAAAGCCTTTATCTGCTTATGCTAAGGTGGGCCTCGCACGAATAACAACCGGCCACTAGGAGGGAAATACAATTGAAACATGGAATATTTTATTAATTCTGCTCACCGAAAAACCTTGTTTTATTGAGTTTAAAAATTAAAAATGAAAACTAACAAGTTGTTGGTTGATGTGGTAAGCAATCTCACTCTGTAAAGAAAAAAATACAAGCTCAAATCCTGAAAAGAACATTCGTTGGAAGGACTTTAGCATTAAATTTTTTTTCCTTAAGAGTTTGTTGCTAGAATTCTTCCCTCCGTCTACTGTTGATCTCATTGAAACTAGTTTGCTGCTTCATTATTCGCGATATTTTTAATTGTCATGCTCCGCAAATTTTCTTCGGTTGAATCAGGTTGTATTGGTAATACACTTGAGTAGAAAATGACGAAGATGCCGGTTTTATCCAGATCACTTGATATAATTTCTCCCCTTTGCATATTAGGTATAGCTCAGGTGGAGGGTAGCTGTCTGAATTATATATAAACGTATTTTGGCCGGTCATTGAAATTGTAACCGTAGAATAACATGTCATATAGGTTCTTAAGTAATTAGAATTGCTCTGATGCTCTCTGTTTTCTGAATTAAGCATAACATAGGGATGGGTTTTCTCTCTTTCTATGACACATCTATTCTTGTCAAATGTCATCATATTTTATTAAAAACCTAAAGCTCTTAGAATTTATGCTGCATTGGTTTCGTTCTAGACAAGAATTATTTTGAGTAAATATTGTTAAAGAAGAAATTTTGTATTATTTTCAATATTAATGAAAGAAATTTAGTATGGCATTAAAATGAAAAAAAAATTTTTTTGTTATACTACTATAAGATACCTAGATTTGTGTATTGTTCGCCTCTTATAAAATGTACAACTTTACATTATGGAAATTTTTTTTTTAAATACTTTTAAAGTTGTAAATTATTATAATGTAAAGTTGTACTTTTATAAATT